TGTGGATCCTAAGAGTCTGCAATGCTGTAGGGACAAGAGATGATCCCTGTGTATACCAAGGCATCAGGGCTAAACTCCTCAATATTGTGGGAATTTCATGTGAGAATCCTCACACTGGGATCTTCCCTTGCTGCCCTTCTTTTTTGAAGACATAATTAGAAGCAACAGGTAAGGACTAATTAATACTTTAAGTCAGGCACACAAGGGAAATGCTTGTCCTTGGTTGATGGGATCAAACTCCTTCTCTAGTGTGATTTGACTAGAATAGCAGCTAATGGCTCTTCCATAGTCTTGTCTGTAGCTTCATGGTTAGGACATCTTTTAGGAACAGCACAGTGAGCTAAGAAGGTCCTTGGCCTCCTAACTTTTAGGGTGGGCAGCCAGCAGCCCCCCTCACACAAGGGGCAGTTCCTGGCACCACACCACTGCTTTTTAGTATTAGTTAAGCAGGTACCAGCCTACCAGGGGCATCCCTGCTCTGAGTGGATCGAGGCACTTCATGCACCACCACAAAACAGCTGCACTAAGACAGCAGCTCAGACCTGCTCCTGCAGAGATGTTCCCTAGTGACCACGTGGCAGCTCTCCACTCAGCGAGCACCCAGCTCCCTCCAGAGACACCTCCTTCACTCCATTCCCAACACTGCACAAAGCCCAAATGTCTCAGTGAGATCTCCAAAATTTCTTGGTCAAGAATATTTTTAAGTTGTTGCCAAGTTGGATGCTTTACGGTGGTGACCCGAACCTAATCTTTAATAAGTAGCACATGCGTGTATGACCATTTTTAGTTGGGTGAAGTGCTCAAGGACACAGGACACGCTGCCTTGTAGGTGATACAAACATTCCTACTGCAATGGAAGCTACAAAGTGTCCTGGAGCGCCAGCAGGAAAGGGTTGTGTGTTGCTGGAGTGGAGCGTCTCGCACACGATCTGTCTCCGTTTATAACCACGACATCCGAGTGGCCACGGACTGTGGTGTAAATGACAACTGTGAAGGCTGCATGGCCACGGGACTGTTGCACCCTGTCAAACTAAAGATGCAGAATATCCCATAGTCAATCCTGGGCTGTCACTTACGATTCTAGTAGTATACAAATTTGCAATTTGTAATTCTCTCTCTGTCCCTTTCTCCTCAGATCAGTGACAGATTCTCAAAACACAGCAATTGAAAGAGACTTCCAAGGGAAGTGAGTCTTTCCCAAAACATAAAATATTTAACTAGATTGCTTCCAGAATCGAGATGTTTTCAGCACTAGATGCAAAGAGGGGAAAAAAAGGAAAACCATGCTGTGTTAAACAACAAAAAGAATTCTGCTCCCAGATCCTGATTTTAAGAATATCCTACACAAACTGAAAGGAAATCTGCAAACTCAGACTGCTTCATCCTTCACCAGGAAAAATACAGTTCTCATAAAATCCAAACCACGTTATACACAAAATTAAATTGATAAGAAAGACATTCATATTTTAATATTGTAAAAAATAGCTAGATAGCAATTCTGAAATGACTTGAAGCATATGCTCAGCTGCCAAACAGGGAGGGCAGCTGAATGGGAGCTGACATTTCAGTTGATGAAGCTCATCACATGGGTGCTCCCCTTGAACTCTTAATGGCCACTCTTGAATGTCATCAAAAGCCTTTGCCTTTGGGAAGACATAGGTATCTTCCACGTGTAGGAAAAGAGGAAAGTTTATTTTAAAGGGATAAAGTCATCCAGAAAGCAGCGAGCTCCTTCGCATGCTTTTCTGCCAGCCTAAGGCCATGTGTCAAAAGGCATTACTTCCAAGGGAGCCACAGGAAAGTAGTCATGGATAACATCCATCCAGCACACGCAGCTTTCCACAGCTACACAGATGGATACATCCCTGTAGGATGCAGGACAAATAGATTGAGTAAAACATTGAGTCAGATTTCACTCTGACATCTTCTGTTTGGGAATGCCAGCCTACGGATTGCAGTATAACAATAATTAACTTTGGGCATCAGGAAAAAAAGAGTATAGAATTCCATGATCTAATTTGAAAGTGAACTTTTTTTTTTTTACCTAGCACTAATTCTCTTCAAAAAATAATTTTCTACAAGCTCTCTCTTCCTTAATAATCAATAAAAGCAGGAAAGCATCTGTTTCTCTTACTCCTATAACTGCATACAAAGATGCATTCCCAAACAGAAATCCACTTTTTCTGTTTACCTTTAAAGAGGAGAAAGGTCAGCAAGAAAAATATTTACACCTGCACTCATCACTCTAAACATAGTAAACATTAAAAATATGGAAATGTGCATATTATTAATTGGGGAATCAGGTTTAATAGCTTTTTCACAAACTAAAAATAAGGAGCCAAAAACAAAGTCCCAAATCCGGAAATAACTGTGTGATAACCAGCAAAGGACAGCTGGAGGTTGGCAAAATTTACCTAAAGCAGTTTACTCTGTCTTAGAAGATTTTATCTTATTTTATATGACCAAGAAAATTCTAAGAAGTCTTAAGAGAAATAAATTACTATGCTCCATTCTCCAGTAAGTATCTTGGAGTTTGCACTGACTGAAATTCTGATTTATTCTTTTTATCAAGAGCAAAATCACAGAAAATGATTTCTTAAAGTTTTGAAGAAGCTTTCTCTGTGTTTTGAAACACAACTGACAGAACTGGCAAAGAAATAAATACGATGTCTGCCTCCCCCTGCTGCAACTGTTATTTAGGCTTTACATATTCCAGAAAGGAATCATCATCTTTACAAAACTGTAACTGAATTGGGAAACTGGGACAGGATGAAACTTGCCAACCAAAAAGTAAATACCTGCCACCAGCCTTCAGGGAATCCCACAGAGATGCTATTTAATGCTTGGAATACCTGTGAGATGTACAAATAATTTTAATAGGATAGCAATAGATACATTTGAAAGACAGGGTGAATAAATATTAGATCAAAGATACTGAAAAAAGCATGCGGGGTTTTTTTAGATACCTTTATTTGTCTTCCAAAAGGAATCATTTTTACTACTGAACTTCATTTAAAAGAAATTCAGTAGACATAAATGAGCATTCTCCTTTTGTGGTGTTTCCAAGGTCTTACACTCAATACCCCAATCTAAGTGCCTTTTTATTATCTCTGAAGAATAAAGATTAACAGACCTACAAAAAGGTTATGATGCTTCTGATAAGAACTGATTACAGTGAATCCTTTCACCTATCTAAAATTCCAAGCACATGCCTGTGTGTTAAATTAGGGATTCACATTAAAATGGATATAACTTTTACAACTATTTATATGGTGATTTTTTAACAGGTATTAAGGTAGACATGCATACCCTGGTGTTCTAATGAATATAGCAAGTTATACATTTTAGCATTATTGGATGTAAATTTTATTAAGCATGATGACTCTATTAAATATTCTCAATGTTTAATAGGCATAATTTGCAGTAGTAAGTAACATTGCAGTATTGGGATTTATATTTCAATTTCCCAGTGACTGCTTAAGTTTATTTAACCTGGAAGAAAACTGAGGATGCATTTTGTTCTACCTGAGGCTAAAATCAGTGTTCTTGAATTACTTCGATATAGTTCAATGACATAAAGGAAGGTCATTAATAACAAAGATTAAGGGAACTGTTAAGTATTTTGATATTATGTTAGAATGCTGTGGACTGAGTATTCGTGATGAATGTTCTAGTATCATATTAGAATGTTGCGTATTGGATGTTAACATTAAATGTTGCAATAATTAAGGAAAAAAACTAATGTGGTTGGGTTTGCACTTTTGTTAATGTGGGAAGATTATGAATAGGATCAAAAAGGTGATGAAAAATAAAGGCTCTAACACTTCCACATCAACTTTCAGCGGGTCGGAAAGGGACTTGAGGAAATCAAAGCTGCCTGGGTGGCAAATTATTCTTCTGGAGAGGGACCAGCATCGAAAAACAACACCGGAGGAAGGGGTGACACGGGCTGATGTGGAAAGAGGAGCCGCAGGAGGCGGAATCCCGGCTCGCGGTGGGAATGGGAGCCACAGGAGCCCCTCCACAGCCCTTAACACGGACTGAGGGGGATTCCTTTGCCCTTCGCTCCGGGAGCGGCCGCTCCGGCACAGCTACCGAGAGGCCTCTCAGCGCAATTTACAGCAGGAGGACGATGGTTGTGTGTGGAAGCCGAGCTGTGAACGCCCCACCGGGACGGGGCTGGAGCACAAGTTCTATGAGGAGCGGCTGAGGGAGCTGGGGCGGCTCAGCCTGGAGAAAAGGCGGCTCGGGGGGGCACCTCGTCGCTCTCTGCAACTCCCTCACAAGAGGTTGTGGCCGGGTGGGGGTCGGGCTCTGCTCCCAGGGAACAGTGGCACGACCAGAGGACGTAGTGTTAAGCTGCGCCAGGGGAGGTTTAGGTTGGACATTAGGAGGAATCTCCACAAAAAGGGCGAGCAGACACTGGAACGGGCTGCCCAGGGAGGTGGCGGAGCCACCGTCCCTGGAGGTGTTCAAGGAAAGACTGGACGTGGCACCCAGTGCTATGGTCTGGTTGGCACGCTGGTGTTGGGTCGCAGGTTGGACTGGATGATCTCGGAGGTCTTTTCCAACCTAATCAATTCCGTGATGCCGCCGCGGGACGCGCGGGGCGGCGGCGGGCTCGGGGCACAGCCCGCCGTGAGGGGGTGGGGAGGCGATCGCCCCTCACCGCCCCGCTGCCGACCCGGCCGAGGAGCCGCCCGGGCGAGCCCCGACGGCCCCGCGAACCGGAGCCATTTCCCGCAGGCAGCGGGGCCGCGCCGGGTGCCTCAGGCGGGCAAAATGGCGGCGGCGGCTGAGGGGAGGGAGAGGGGGCGGGGAGAGCGCGGTGGAGCTCCGCCATCCTCCTCCTCATCGTCCTCCTCCCGCCGCCGGCTCGGCCCGGTCCTTGCTCCCCCTGCCCCGCTCCGAGCCCCGGCCACAGGTAGGTGCCCGCCTCGCTGAGGCTCCTTGCCGCGGGTTTGCCTCTCCCCGGCCGTGCTGCTCGGCGGCCCATCCTCTCCGGAGCTGAGATCGCAGAGGTGGTTTTTGTTTGGTTTTTTTTTTTGTTGTGGTCTCTTGGTTGGGTGTTTTAATTTATGTGCCATCTGCAGATGAGGTGAGAGCGAGGTGGGTGGGAAGAGTGGCGGCTCAGGTGGGAGCCCGCCTGGTCAGGGGCAGAGCTGCTTCGGGAGGAGGTGGCCCGTGACCTTTCCCTAAGGTAGACCTGGGATGCTCATCCCAAAGCTGGATGGCGAGTATTGTCCCAAAATGCTGCGTCCCCAGCCTCACTGGGAGGGTGGCATCAACGCAGCTGAGCAGAGGGCCCCAGCCTGCTCTGGCTCCTGGCTGGAAGCCGGCCTGTGGAATCGTTAGCCAGGCATGTCCAACCAGTGGAATCTCGAACCGGGGGTGCAGGTGTCCGGGCACACAGGTGAGCACAATGTGTGTCTGGGTTTGCCTGGACAGGGGATGCCACAACCTTCCCTTCGCCTCCCAGCTGTTCCTCCCTCCTGTGCTAGCACGTGAAAACACCTGGAAGACCACCGAGGTAAGTATTGTTAAGCCTTACGTGTTTCAGCTGCTGAGGTGGCAGACAGCTGTACAGGTATTTTATAATCTACTGGAAATCAAACCAAACCAAACTGAACTGACCCACCACCACGAAGGATGATGTTCGTTTAGACCAAAATTCATGCCCTCCTGTGAATTCCTACCTAAATTTCAGGCAAGATTTGCTTTGTTTCCTTCTGTTAAGAGGGACATGGAGAGGATATTTCAGGGGAGAACTGGTTAAGTGACTTTATGATGTTAAAGCCCTTTTGCCATCCCTGTTGTGGCAGTATCCAAGTCGCGTGGATCCGTGCTGGTGATGACAGACTGTTGTGTGGATTGTTTGGGTAACCAGGCAAGTTGTCAAAGTGGGACCAGGCCTGTATGTCAGGAATGTATATTGAAGCCAGGTCCTGTAAACACTCACTGATCTGTAGAGTCTTGTTGCTAGGGCTTTGCACAGGAATAAAGAGTCACATATGAGTCCCTCTTTGAAGTCCTCGTGTGCTACTTGACTATTTGGAAGCCAGGAGGATGGCTGAGGAGAGAGTTTCCATAGTTTGTGAGCTTCACTCTCAGGATTTTCATTTATAAATAAATTCACGTCTTTCCATGGCTGGTTTTGGAGTGGGGCCAAGCAGAACTATATTGTTTATGTGCGTAGATTTTTGTGTCTCACACAAAGATGCCTATTGTTTACCCAGAAACTGTAAGAGGAATGTTTTGTTAACATTTGGTTAGCAATATAAACTGACAAACACAAGCGCAGACTAGAACTCAAAACAGAAATAGCCCTTCTTGGAACAGAAAAACACAGCTGCCTGAAAACTGTTTTTCAGGGAAAACTATGCACCTATTGGTTCCACGTTTCTTTTAAAACTCAGGTTCTGTCATTTAAGTGCCTAAAAACTTCAACTGCCTGTAACTTTCACAGCAGCTTAGTCTCATACCCATGTACCCTCTAAACAATGCTTATTTTTCTAAAGAAGATTGGCTGAATTGCAGACTTTTTTTTTTAATTACATTTGAAATTTGTTTTTAGTTGGGTGTGTCGCTGTTACATTTTCAAATTCCTGAGCTGACTGGGATGAATTCCCCTCTCCATTGTCAACATTTGTCTTTTCCATTAGGACTTGCTGCCTTCTCCTTACTTTAAGAGACTTTCAGTGGCTTGAAAGAGTATGACCAAAAAATCCCCGTGTTTTCAATATTTTATATTTAAAAAAAAAAAATCCACAACCTACATGGAGAGTAGTTACAGATCCCATGGGGTCCTGCTTTACATAGTGGAGTGTATTGAATTAGTGGAGCCTGAATGCAAATTTCCAGTCGTGATAATGCACATGGATGACCTCTAATCTCTCAGTTGTGCTGTTTCTGACTTCATTCCGCGATGACCAGCACCCACCTGCACTGAAGTGATTGATACCTGCTTAAAAAAAAAGGGGTAAATTGTTCTTAGAAGGGCCCAGAAGCATTTGGTATTTTAGAAAGAAGGGATCACAGCAGTTTGGGAACTCCATGACAGCAGAGTGTTTAATTTTTAATGCAGTGATGGCAGTAGGTATTCATCAGATTGTACAGGTCCAGTGGAAGAACGTCAGAACTTCAGAACTTGCACATCTCCTAATGCTCACCAACATCTCTTTTTTAGAATTATTATCAATGAAGTGCTTTGGCACTGCATTTCTCTGCTGTTTTTTTCACCCTGTTTCTTAGCTTGAGTATTTCTACCTGTCATTCACAGACTCTTGCTTTCATGACTAGTACCATAAAATTATATTTTAATATCATAGGTACCACCTTTTATTCATTATTTCTACACTGCCTGATCCTCTCTAATTGAGTATTTGTACCCGATTTCAGTTTGATGGGTCATTGTGTTTACAGGTTATCTTTTGTTTCCTTTTTTTCAGCTTTCTCCACTGACTTACAGAAGAATATATGCTGACTCTAGTACAACTCACAAGTATTGTATTTATTTTTTTAATTTTATGTGTTTTAGGAAGCAGAAGGTGAACTGTTTAGTTCATTGTAGTGCTGAGCACAGTGAGATCCTGTTCTGCAACTGGGCTGCGGAGGGAGGACAGTAACAATGCTGATATGGAAAGTAATTTTTAATGCTTCTACTAATATTTTCCTACACTGAGTTTGTTACATAAAGCTTTGATTTTTACAGGGACCTCTGTGTGCCTGTATCCTTGCACTTATGTGGCTACTCACTGAAATCCCTGACTCTTCTGTTTGTATAAGGAGATCCTTAACAGGATTATTTGGAATTAGAGGTCTGTGGCAAGATGTGATTGGAATTAGTCCGGGTGGGGAAAAGTGTCAGTTTAAGGAAGGTGTTCTGGTGTGGAGATGAGCTGGTTTTATCATCTCCCAAGGACAGGTTACGTGTTTTATTTGTTGCCTAAAGCTTCAGATTAAAGAATATGTTCACGTTTTAAAATAGGTGTTTGCTTAGTAGTTGTATTCCGGCAGATTCTAACCCTGATGTGTCAGAATTCCGCTGTAACTCAGTAAATAAAAATAAGACACAAGAATCCCCTGGGTTCTGAGCTGCAGAATCAGTGATGTTTCCGTATTTTCCTTTCTGTTCTCTCACAGGGAAGATGACACTCAGCCAGCATTCCTGAGTCACAAGGATGGGGCCAGATGTACCTCTGCTGAACGATTACAAACAGGAGTTCTTCTTGAAGCGCTTTCCTCAGACTGTGCTGGGAGGTCCCCGGCTTAAATTAGGCTATTGTGCCCCTCCCTACATATATGTGAACCAGATCATTCTCTTTCTGACACCATGGGTTTGGGGAGGAGTAGGAACACTCTTGTACCAGCTGGGAGTCACGAAGGACTATTGCACTGCAGCACTGTCGGGAGGACTGATGTTTGTCACTGCACTTGCTCTCCAGATGACAAATCTGTATGCAAAGCAGAAAACAGTGACAGTAGAGAGAATGCAAATTCAGAATACCCTGACAGATGAAGATGAGTTTGAATTTTCCAGCTGTGTAGGTTCAGAGACAGTAAAATTTATTATTCCTGGCAAGAAGTATATAATCAACACTGTATTCCATTCCCTTCTGGCAGGGGTATTGTGTGGGCTGGGAACTTGGTATTTGCTGCCAAACAGAATAACCTTGTTATATAGCAACATTGGAGGAACTGTTGTGATCTTTGTATTTGGATGGGTGACCATATGTATAGGAGAGTATTCATTAATCATAAACACAGCTACTGAAACAGCCACTTTCCAAGCACTGGATACTTATGAAATCACTGCTCTGATGAGACCTTTCTACATTTTTGTCTTTATTGCAGTGGATCTTGCACACAGGTAAACCTAATAATGCATTTAGCTAATTTAAGTACTGGTTATTCTGTGTATTTTTGATGAGAAAGATGAAATTATTCTTCTGAGGAAAATTTATTTTGGGATTTTAATCAACTGTAGGAACTTCAAAGAAAGAAGCCAGATGTATTTATGGCAAAAATTGAGGCTCTGTGCTGTGTATAAAAGGTTCCTACATTTTTATAGCATTCCATGTAAATTAGAAAGAACAGTTAAAGCAGTTTGGATGTATGATACAGGTAAAATTGACTTCTATCATGTAATTTTTAGTATTTTTGCACCAGAGCATTTACATCACTGTCCTTTTTGGAAACACATGTTCCTCACCTGGAACTGTAGATCAAAACACTGCAGACTTCAGGAATTTATGTCCAGATTTCATCCTGGAATATATTCTCATTTAATCTCTGCAAAGCGATTGTGGAGTGTTTTAGACAACAGGCAAAAAAAAAAAGGACTCTGAATTTGGTTTTAATGAATGGATAAGCAAATGTGAGCATTGCTATATCTTGGTTGTATGGATTTTGGACTTGAATTTTTAAATGCTCTTGTAATACAAAAGAGTTCTGTCAGCCTACAAATAGGAGACTTCTATATTTCTGTTTTTCAGATGGGTTTTTCTTAACAAGTATTTGCAGAATCTCTTAAAGCAAGATGCTTTTAGATTTACTCTGTGCATTCATTCTCCCTGTCGACTGATATTTAAATCACTTTGTCACATGTACATATTTTATGGTTGGGGTACTTCAGATGCACTAAACAAAACAACAAAAAAAAAAGGCATGTTTGATTTTACTAGTTTTGCACTTGGAGATGTCTTTGTTAATGATTTACCCTCGTTGCCACTTCAGTTAAGATTTTTAATTTCCTGAGGAGAAAATTCAGACATTGTCTAAATTCCTGATAAAATTCCTTTGAGGCTTTATTTGATTATTTATTAAAAAGTAGAGAGAAACCAAATATCTTTTCAGTCCACCTTTAACTGAATTAGCTAGCTGGTGAACTACATATGACTTAGAATTTATGCAGATTTCTAACACTGATCTTTGTATTTTTACAGGATGATTTTGACACTTTTATGTAGAAAATAATATTTTATATTCCTAAAGAGAGTTTAGGTGTACAGGCAACGTGCCAGTTCTTCCAGTGCTAAGACTTACTTCTTAGGTCTTGGACTGGCATAAAATTTTGCTTTTGTGACTCTGAAAAAATACTTTGCATTTTTCTTGTTAAACCACTGAGGTTTTGGAGCCTGTGGACCTTTATTTTTGCATAAGTATTTCTTCAGTGTATTATCACAACAGTATCAAAACAACTGGGATAATTGCATCGCTGGATTCATCTGCATAATCCAAAGGCTTCAAATCTCTTAAATGGGAAATTAGGCTGTTTTCTGATGTTTAATTAATTTGTTGCTGCCCCAAGCATAAATGTATGTCCTTATTTTTCCTTTTAAACCATCATAATTGAGGTTTTGTAGGTTGAATATGTAATGGTTTTACTTTGGGATTTGCTGTAGTATTTGAACGAGAAGTCTTCCCACACATAAGTTACCCTTTCCTTCCCAGAAGTCAAATCCATTTCTTCTTTTATCCAGGTTTGCTGTCAACGCACCCATTCTAGAACAGACAAACCAGATTTTGCACATCCTATTTCTTTTCCTGCCATTCTTGTGGGCAATGGGAATTCTGCCCCCGCTTGACGCACTTTTTCTGTGGGGAATGGAACAACTGTTGGAGTTTGGACTAGGAGGTTCACCTATGTCAAGTAACACAAAGTAAATGTTTATATGATTGTAAAGTATATCAATATTGTTCATAACCTTTTTCTTTTCAAGCAAATCTTTTTTATTTTCTCCTTCACAGGTTGTTAGTAATGTTTCTCATTTCTGCTGGAACAGCAATAGCATCGTATTTCATTCCCAGCACTCTCGCTGTGATCCTCTTCATGACTGGATTTGGGTTCATACTGAGTCTTAACCTAAGCGAGATTGGGTTTGCCTTCAAACACACCATGATCAGCCATTTAGCCTCCAGCAAACCTAAAAATATGCACAGAGGGCTTAGGATGCAATTTGGGTGGAGGGAATTCATTTTCTATTTGGCTGTGTTGACATTTGCCCTCACGGAAGCGAGTCTGCTGCACCGATTTGCAGGCTCTTCATCACTCTCCCGAGCCAGTCCTCAGGCCATAGCAAGTTACATTCTGATCCCATTACTTATAATGATGTGGATTCTTAGAGAGATTCAGAGAGTGTACTTGTTTGGAGTCTTCCGAAACCCCTTTTATCCAAAGGATGTCAGGACTGTGACTGTGTTCATGGAGAAGCAAAGAAGGCTAATGAAAGTTGGTGTTGTCAGGAGGATTTTACTAACACTAGGTAGGAATGCACACTGTCTGTTGTTTGTTAGATGATGCTTGTAGGGAGATTGAAACAACACTAGAACTGCTGTATGTGCAAGATCCTGTGAATGAACTAAGAAAAACCAAGTAGCTGGAAATACTTGTTGTCTTGATAAGTTGTGCACTGAGGTCAAAGTTACTGGTCCAAAATATTTGAAAGTGATTTTATTTCTTTCTTTTTTTTAGGGGTGAACCTAAAAAGTTCAGCTTTTTAAAAGCCCAGCTCAGAAAGCAAGGCCTTTTAAAGGGTTTTAGTTATAACTTAAGTACTCACTTTTGAAAAAAAATGGCACTTGCAGATTTTTTAAAAGGTACTCAGAAACAAAGTGAGAAGCAAAGCTGACTAAATATTTGTTTTTACAACTTACTGAGGAAAGGGAACCTCCTTTCTGGTAGGTCATGGAGAAATGCATCTACCTTGAGGGAATAAAAATTTGATTTAAATTGTTTCATAAAGAAGCATTAGTTTGGGAAAGTGGATTGATGACTGCTATTCCGTGTTTATGTTTACTTACTTGGGTATTCACATTCTCTTGGAGAAACAAATAAAGGCCAAAAGAAACCTAACAGCAAGTAACAACTGAGCACTGATGTAAATGTTTGCTGTCCTGGGCCATTAGTGCAAACAAGCTGTTCAATATCCTGGGAGTGTAACACAAAGAGGAATTTGATAATGAAGGGAAGAGTTTTTTATTTTTTAACTAAGATTTCCATTCTGCAATAAGACTGCTTACCTCTGTAGACTTTTATTATGTTTTTGAAAGGAAATCAATGATTCTTTTATTTCAATTCCAGTGTCTCCGTTTGCTATGATAGCGTTCCTGTCACTAGACCGTTCGCTACAAAACCTTCATTCTGTGTCTGTTTGCATTGGATTCACGAGAATATTTAGGATGGTAATTTGAATTTTACATCTGTTAGCCTAAGAAACGCTCTTCTACGTGATTTAAGTATTAAGGTGGCTTGGAAGAAACATTCCAGGTCATGAAAGCAGAGAGAAATAGATACATTTTTAAATGTATATCTAACATCTCTCTATTTTAGGTCTGGCAGAATACAGAAAATGCCTTACTGGACATTGTGATTGTGTCGATAGCACAAATGTTGGTGTTTAATCCAGACCTCTGGTGGAACAGGAGCCTCGATACAGGAATCAGACTCTTGCTGGTAATTGTCATGATGTAAATTTAAGCAGATAGTTGTCATTTAAAGTCTTTATTTCCGTAGTCTCTCCTATTAGAGGATTACAGAGCCCAGAAGCTAAAAACTGTGTACTAAGATAAATAGTAACACCAATCAATGATAGTCATGCTTGGTTTTCATAAGATCATTGTAGCCAAGGCAGCTCTGGCAGTGTTGAAGATGACACAGGCTACAAATGGCGTGCTTGTTGTCTGTATCCCACAGGTCGGTCTCCTCCGGGATCGGCTGCTCCAGTTTGTGTCCAAGCTGCACTTTGCCTTGGCCATCCTCCTGACATCGTGGACAGAGAAGAAGCAGCGCCGCAAATCCACCGCCACCTTGATCACCCTCAACGTGGTTTTCTTCCCCATCCTGCTGACCCTCATCGCCATCTCTGCCCTCCTTTCCTCCCCGTTGCTGCCGCTCTTCACGCTGCCCGTGTTCCTGGTCGGGTTTCCCAGGCCTGTCCGGAGCTGGCCGGGACCTGTGGGTGCCACGGCCTGTGTGTGCCCCGACACCGTGTACTACCAGCAGCTGGTGCCCAGCCTGGCTGTGGCCCTGCAGTCTGCACTGGCCACTGGGAGCCTGGGTAGGTGCACAGCAACATTGATGAAGCCAAATACCTTAGGAAAGGTGGATTCGCTGGAGAACGGGAGAACCGTGGTTCAAACCGCGTTCCATGGCGTGGGTTAAATCTGGTGCTCAGAGGTGGTTCAGTTGAGGAAAAAGCGGGTACTTCTATCCTACTTCTACAGTCACCCAGCGATAGGGCAAAGGGAAACGGCCTCAGTTTGCACCAGGGGAGGTTTAGGTTGGATAATTAGGAAAAATTTCTTCACTGTAAGGGTTGTCAAGCATTGGAACAGGCTGCCCTGGGAAGTGGTGGAGTCACCATCCCTGGGGGTGTTAAGAGAACGAGCAGATGTGCCCCGGTTTTAGTGGACATAGTGGTGATCAGCCAGAGGTTGGACTTGATGATCTTGGAGGTCTTTTCCAACCCTGATGGTTCTATGATCTCTACCTGCTGCATTCCAGTAAAAAAATAACTCTGGTTGGTTACCTTTAAGGAGACATTAAACGGTGATTAAACAGTCTCAATCCTGATCCTTCTGTACTGAACAAAAAGGATGGACAGCACAGAGAAGGGCGTGTGTCAAACTGCTCTCTGTGGCTGTGTCTTTCTCTGCATCAATCCCGTTGCTTAGGATCCAGAAGCTGACTTTGCTGATTTGGGTGTGGTCATTGGTTATGGTGAACATGGACTGGATGTTTGTAAAATACATGATGCAGCACAAGTAGCAGCATTCAGCTGAGAACAGAACCATTGGGTAAGACTTTATGTCCTATCTTGTGCAGGCAGTCAGGATAGGATTGTAACAGCACTTGTGGGCTTACAGCCCCTGAAAGGCATCGTGAGGGGGATTTCACAGAATTGCAGGAACAGAGGTGAAGAAATGCCCAGTCTTTTTCCCAGCTGGAGACAGGATAACTGTTAAAATTGCAAGCTCGTTGTCTCGAGAAACAGCCTTTGTGTAACCTAAATAATCAAAAGATTGCTGCCCTTAGGCAAGAGGCAAGTATTTACATAAGCCTCTTAGAAAATGGCTTATGATTAGACAAAATGGGCTAATATTTAAAGGCAGTGGAAGTTAACCTTAATCATGCTTTTTTGAAGAATAGAACCAAGTGCTTTACTTTTACATTTGCTGTAATTTTAGTACTGATTAGAGGGAGGTATTGAATAAAACTAGGAAGTGTTTTTCCTCTAGAGAGAGTTCAGTTTGCCTACAGCATCAGCCCATCTGTGTTTTATATATACAATAGATACATTTATATAATATATATATAGTTTATCAGTTATATCTTTCTTCTGTTTTATGTCTATACGTATTTTTATAGGGGTTTTTTCCCCTTTGCCATAATGACTGTAATGGCATGTCTGCCTCAGAATAAATAATTTAAAAGACTAGTCTTGAGGGGGGAGAAAAAGTCTCTGCTTTAATGGGAAAATCTGTGAATGAATGTCTTCAAGCAAGAAAAAATGTGGTGTTCTCAGATGAGTTCAAAACGAAGTGGTACCACTTTGTGTGTCACTAATTTAAACCCGTACTTTTTTTCCTGTGTAAAGGAGTTTTAGTAGCTTTAACAGCTAGCAAGAAAGGAATTAAAATCTTTGCAAAATGTTAGCAAGAAAATGCACTTCATTAGCTCAGTGGGATAGAAAAGGTTACTTAAATTTTAACTACAGCTTAATGGCTGGTTTCACTGATTTCATCCTACAACGTTCTAAAATTAAAATTCTCTGTGCAAGTGAGTGGTCACTGGACATGAGTGGCAGCAGGAGCGGGTCATAAACTGGCAGCAGACTCATGCTTAAGGATAGAACCATTGTTTTAGGAAAGTTGACATTAGGCTGTAATTCAAATACAGTATAACCACCAGTTCTTAGAAAGTTTGGCCTTGCACTTTTTATTGAAATAGGTAGAAAAGAGAAAAGGTACATTTTGTGTGGCTTTTTTGGACCCAAGTGTCATTTTTGCAGTGGGATTTTTGAGTGCTGACTACCTTGATGTTGTTCAGAACCCTATTTTCAAATTCCAGTTTATTTTGTGTGGCTGTATATTTGGTGATGTCCTGCTTAATACAGTGGGATCAGATTTATTTTTGCACAGATACACAGAGGTATTTCAGAATGACTGCAGATGATTTCCTCTGTATCTGCTGTTCATGCTCAATGTGTATGATGTTGATTCCCAAATATTTAAGGATGAGCAGGTGCTTTTGCTCTGCCTCTGTTTATGTGTCGGTAAAATGGGTGTGATGATGTGTCACTGGTGAGCTGACACTCATTTACACTCTGGATCTCACATTGTAGGAGATATTTTAGGAAGAAGTATAGAGGATACTTTAGAATATTAGGAAGAAATTCTCACCTGTGAGGGTGCGGAGGCCCTGGCACAGGTTGCCCAGAGAAGCTGTGGCTGCCCCATCCCTGGAAGTGTTCAAGGCCAGGTTGGATGGGGCTTGGAGCAACCTGGGCCGGTGGAAGGTGTCCCTGCCCATGGCAGGGGGTTGGAAGTGGGTGGTCTTTAAGGTCCCTTCCAACCCAAACCAGTCTGTGATTCTGTGATTTCCTAATAATGCTGGAATACAGACAATCAATTTAGGAACTGGTGCTGTAGGTAACAAATCCTGATTAGTTATGTTTTTATTTCTCCCATAACAAATAAACTTCTTACTCCACAGCACATTGGGCCATTAGGGTACTCCTGTGCTATATCATGATTCTTTAATGCATTCAGTCATAAGAATTTTAGGTCTCTGGAGAACAGCAGTGGGAACTGAGTGGTTGGAAACGCAGCCAAAGATGATCTTCAATCGTGAAAATCATTTCTACAAAGGGAATTAAGGGTGGGGTTGCTTAACCCTAGTGCAGTATTAGTATTGTAGCCTGCAGTTGTGTGAAGGTTTCCCAGTTTTCCCCAGCTTTTTCAAAGTGAACACTGCAGTTTCAATATCCAGCTTTGCAGCTGGTTTCTTTAGGATTCTAAGGTCCTAGTTAGCCAGTTTTAACTGGCTGTGATGTTGACGCAGAAATATTTTGTGTTTGCAGTTGAATCCTTTTGTTGGCATATAGAAAAGGTTTTCACCACTATTGTACCAAAGTAATACATAGTTTTTGTTGGGTTTTGATCCTTGTCTAGGTCTCTCTCTACCTGGATCTCATTACTTGTGCCGCTTTCAGGACAGACTGATGTGGATATTGGTGCTGGAGAAAGGCTTCACGTACTGTGGTGTTAACATTAAGGTAACTGTGTGCTGAGCACTGAGACATTAATGTTTGGAAGTCATGAAAACATTTTGCTGTGTAGCATTTCATCAATGTAACTGATTAACTGATGCTATAGGTAATTCTTTAAAATGAGTGTTATGCTAGCCAGTTCACGTGTAGCACATGTGGAATTTATTATCCAGCTTGTGAGACAGTATCTTTAACAGAAGGGCTAATAAGATCTGCATGAGGCAAAGATTCATTCATTGATCTGTGTCTAATACTGCAGTGAGTGCTTTGTTACTGCATGTGCTCATCTAGCTGTTCTCTCCAGTTAGATTTGTAGGTTCAGTGCTGGAAAATATTGAGAACGCAACATACATTTTTATTCAGAAAAAATGTTGTTGGAGGCAAACAGCTTGCTAGCGTTTAAAGACATGTCCTGGTGAAGACTAAGAGGAAGTTGTTTTTATGTGTGCTTTAGGGGCTAGAACTGCAGGAAACATCCTGTCACGCTGCTGAAGCTCACAGAGTTGATGAAATTTTTGAAATGGCCTTTGAACATCAGGAGCGCACGAAGCTTCTCTCTCCCAATCCCCACTTTGGACACATCCTGACTCCTTGCACTGTGGTGCCTGTGCGGCTTTACTCCGATGCCAGGAATGTGTTATCTGGGATCATTGACTCCCACGAGAATTTAAAGCACCTGAAAGATGATTTCATTAAAGTGCTTGTGTGGATGCTTCTCCAGTATTGTTATAAAAAATCGAAGATGTGGGAAAGCCCAGGCAGTGCCAACAAGAACAAACAAGGGTCTTTCCCAGAAAATCAGCACAGCGGTGCAGTAGGAAGATCCAGGGCTCTGAGGGAAGAAGACAGCTTTAGTGTGGATACAGTGGAGGACTGGACTGATGATAGTGACATTTTTGACTTTGAGCCCAGTGGCAGAACAAAAGACAGGAAAGAGCCTGGGCAGTTGGGACCAACACCAAAAGTGCACCTGTCTATTCCAGGGTCTGTGGAAACACAGAGCCAAGACCTGGCACAAGAAGTGTCACCAGAAGATAAATTGTACAGGGCTGTGGTGCTTGGGCTGCCTGCTGTAGACAAAGGGAAACAGCCAGAAGTTTTGCCTCGGGTTGAATTTAGTTGCTCTTACTCGGAGCTGCTGAGCATCCCTGAGGAATGGAGAACAGCGCCGGTGCCGCCTTCCAAAGTCAGTGAGATGAGGCAGAGGTTTCCAGAGGAATGGTACCACTTCGTTCTGAGTCAGCTGGACTTCTTCCATCTGAAAGAAAAGCCTTCCAGTTTACTTGCAGACCTCATGGAAGATAAAGCTTTGAAGGACTTGTACATCCAGGGAGTGCTGTCATGTTGCTTTGGTCTATTTGGCCTGGATAACGCTGTGCCTGCCCCGAGCCACGTGTTCAGGGCCTACACTGGGGGCATTCCCTGGTCTGTGGGTTTGGACTGGCTAACAGGCAAACCAGAGCTATTCCAGCTGGCATTAAAAGCATTCAGGTAAAAGAGAAACATTCCCTCACATATATTAAAAAATTATAGAGAGAGTCCTGTGCTTTGGAAGTGAATACCACTTCACTTCAGTTACATTTAACCCCTATCATTTAAATGTATTTGTAGCTTCTTCCTACATATATGTTGCCTGTGATCCCTGACAGGGAAGCCTGGGATATGGAGTTTTCTTCTTCCCTCTCTTCCCCCCAGCAGCTGCCTCCAATCTGCTGTGTTAAGTGGGGAAAAAACAACCCATTTTCATCATCCCCATTTCTAAGAGAATTGTGATGGATTTAGATTTTGGCATTTTCCATTACCAGGCAGCAGGAATGGTGTTGGAGGGGAATGAGAGATGCTTAAGCTGATGTGCTTTACATCTGGGTGGGCTAAAAGCACAGCCAGACCAACTGGCAGTGGCTCAGCTGACAAGCAGTAACTGGCAGGGTTTGGTGGAGCCTTTTTCCACCTTCTGTGGCCTGAAGAGCCTTTCTCCCTCCTGTCTCTGCTGCACAAGTGACCATGTGGCGTTCTGCACCTTTCAGATACACTTTCAAGCTTATGGTGGACAAAGCCAGCCTGGGTCCGGTGGAGAACTTTGAAGAGCTGGTGAGTTACCTGGAGGAATATGACAGCGATTGGTACATCGGGCTGGTGTCAGACCTGGAGTGGCAGCAGGCAGTTCTGCAGGAAAAGCCATACCTTTTCTCACTGGGGCACGACCCAAGCATGGTAAGAAATAAAATTACTAGTGAGCAAGGTCTCAGTTTGGTTTTCCTATCCACTGTTCTTTCTTTTCCCTTTGTAATTGCGTTGCGTGAAGGCTGTGCTAAGTTTATGTTTGTGCTAGAGAGGAACTGACACCACTGTTGTTGAAAATCACACCACAGATGCACCAATATTTCCTGATTATCTCCCTGGATGGAAGAGTCAAAACCAGGAGACTGGTGTATACACTTTGCTGTGTTTTAAAGGATGATATTCGTGGCATTATCCCCAAAGTTTCATCGAGCTTTGTAACAAAAATGCTCGTGTCTTGTCTCGGAGAACGCACTGACACCGTGATCTGTTCGTTCTCACAGGGAATTTACACCGGGCGAGTCCTCACTCTTCAGGAATTGCTGGTGCAGGTGGGAAAGCTGAATGCTGAGGCTGTCCGGGGTCAGTGGGCCAACCTGTCCTGGGAGCTGCTCTACGCCACCAACGACGACGAGGAGCGGTACAGCATCCAGGCACACCCGGTGCTGCTGCGCAACCTGACGGTGCAGGCTGCCGACCCGCCCCTGGGCTACCCCGTGTACTCCTCAGGGCTCCTGCAGCTCCCTCTGCTCTAGAATGCCCTTTTCTTTTTTTATTATGACTGTCGTTATTTTGTATTTTTCACCTGCATGTTGGGAATCAAATGCTCGTGCTCCATTCGTGCACTGCAGATCAGGTTTTACTCTCGGTGGCAGTGCCGGGCCGGCACACAGTCCTTGGCACAGAGATGGTGCTGGCCAGGACCTTCAGCAGGCAGGAAGTTTGGAACTGTTTTCCTGCTGCTGGAACACGAGACACCATTGCCTGTGTGGCTGACGAGCCAGATGCTGAAATTCTCTTCTCCAGTTTAGAGAGGAGCAGCACAATTCTGATCATTAACTATTTTTGGTGCATTTTTACTTTTTTTTTTTTTCTTGGACAGGTGACTTGCACTGCCAGTCAGGTTACAGCTCTCTGTAGTACTGTCAACCCCAGAGTTGGCAACCAAAGTGTACATAGGACTATTTATATAAGGGTTTTTTTTATTCTGGCCATTTTTTATTGGACTGAGTTCAGTTCTAGCGTTTGTTATATGACTTTCACTGCTCTTCCATAGCTGTTGTAAGTTCTCAGCCATGCTTTAACAAAAGTGAGTTCTAAGGGACAATTTTTACCAAAGGATTTGTTTTGGTAAAGAGAATTTATATAAAACAGTGTGTGCTCTGACACACTGATAATCTATGTGACCTACTGATGAAAGAAGTAAATATGTATAATGAGGGGAGTACAAATGGAATAATTTCATCTCCTTCTTTCAGTATCCATATATATGATATATATTATATATATGTTATTTGCAGCCTATATCCACCTCTCTAACCAGTCTTCCACAAATACAGTAAGAGCTTGATGATGAGGGGTGGGAGGTGGAAATCAAACTATCTGTGCCAGAAGTAATTTTTTTTTTTTTTAACCTTACCACAGCCTGGAACAGACTTTGGCAGCTGGTTTGCAATATTAGTCTCCTTGAAAGCAGGTCTGGGTCCAGTCTCCAGTGGCTCTTGATCCTCTTCACTACCACCACTTAGTACATAAATGTGCTTTCTCTGTAGGTCAGTGGTTACAGTGTAGGTACTGCTGGGAAATGCTGAGCAGGGAGTAGGTAACTGTGTTTCCTTAACCTATAGAATGAATTTAAGTCAGACCTGCTCCTTAACTGAAGTAGAACTGGTTTAGAACACCCAGCCTAGTCTGATTTTGGAGCATGCTTATTACTTTTACTCCTCATTGTCACAGAGCAGTGTACTTGGGTGCTGGCTGTTTCTTCTGATCAGTGACTAGAAATGACTTTTAAAAACTATGCACGTGTAGTCAGGAGACACCTGTTTGGTGCCGTGCTCAGCCCTGAGCTGCATCTGGAAATTCAGGGTCATGGAAGAGATCTGGAAGGGGCTTGTGGAGAGAACCTATTTCAGCTCCCTCAGAAGGAACTACCCTGGCAAATATTTACTCTGATTTAAAACTTCCAATACCAGGAGTGTCACAAACCCCTCAAGTAGTTCACTCCAGTTCTGTGCTGTTCCTGCAGCAATTGCAAAGTTGGGAGTCATTCCCTGAATCCAGTTAACCCTCCCTGCCTCATTGTAAACCTCTTACTAATCGTCTTCCATATGGTCACAGAAAAGTTAATTACCTTTTTTTTTTTGCAGCAGTCTTTTATTCAGAGATGGCTGTGATTTCTGCCCTCATTCTTTGTCTTTTCTAAACTGAATAAAGTAGTTGAGAGAAAAACTGAAGAGAGCTGTGATCCTTTTCCCTTCCTTTCCCCGGGTTCTCTCCATCTGCTAGCCGGCCTTCTCGAGGAGTGTTGCTGGTAACCAGCCCCGGCGTTCCAGCAGAGATCCTGATTGGTACCAGATGGAGGAGCACAATTAGTGATGGGCAGAATTCCTGTTTGTGCACAGGAATGTGGGGCTGGGCTGTGATGCCCTGCAACATCCCGTCCCCTGCTGTCACAGGCAGTGTGTCCCACACCCCTCACTCACTGCTGCACGGAGCCATTGGTACATCCCAGTAATTCTTCCAGCAGTGTGACCCCGATTCCCAATGCCCTTTTTCCTGTAACACTTACATTCTTTTTTGACAGAGACAAAGGTTACAGCCTCTTGTTGTGTGCAGCTGAGAGCCCCCACGTTCAGCCTGTTGGTTTGTTTGCGTGCTCTTGAACCGTGCCCTGTTTGGTTTGGAGCATTTCTTTGGTTTACCAGGAATTCAGGACTCAGGGCACCTTCCAGCCTGGCCTTGCCTGTGCACAGAGGCTGCTCTCGGGGTTAGCCCTGCACTGCACTCAGGATGCAGGACTGGGCTTGGCACAGGCCACCCCCCCTATTTTCCCCTGGGACCCCTGAGAGCTGCTCTGTTTTGTAACCACGTGTGTGCACCAGCTTTTATTCCTTGCTCTGGTTGGAAAGTTTCCATAACTTAGGAATAGGTTTTTTAAGTAACTTCTAAATGCTGTTTCAGAAGTTCAGGGATTTAGCCCTCAATGCACATTTTGCTCAAGGAACACTTCACAAGCACAGATCAGACATCCCAACCTCCAGCAACCTTCTACTTGAGGGTTTGTTTTTCTCAATAGGAATTAGGAATGAAAGTGAGGGAAACAGGGTCCTGGGGTATATAATTTTTAGGCTGCTCGCCAGGTGTTTGCCAATGTCATAGCAGCAGAAAAACAGCATCGCAGCATCCCAGCCTCTCGTGTGTCTCAGTGCTTGTAAGCTTAAAAATTCGGCCTGTGGGAATTTTAACATGAAACAGGTGTGTTTAGAAAGAGATTTTTATTTAGTCAAGTGTCTCGTCAGCTTGATAGATTTGTCAAGATACAGGATGATAAAGATATAACAGATAAAAAAAAAGCTGTTGCTGCAGTCACGCAGTATGAAAAGTTTCTCAGCCTTAGCACAAGAACAGCAGGATTTTGTACAATCTCATTCTTATTTCTTCTTTCTTGAGTAAGAGGCATCAGCATCCTGGAGGGAGAGGACAATAAATCAGTATTTCAGCCCCCACTTTCTGCTGCGTTGAAGTTCTTCACTTGTGTTGTTTTTTCTTTGAAAGAGCTTGTGACGGGGGGCAGTTACAGTGTGGAAGCAGGAAGTTTCGTTTTTGCATTTCCTGCTTTTGGAGTGCTTTTAATGTTTGTTTTTTTTTTTTGTGCCAAGTTCAACGAAAACACAGTAATAATAAATAGCATCTACCAAGCAGTGCTGTGGGGACAGAAGGCAGCAGATCTGTCCCCGGGGCTGCCAGTGTGGGTGAAGAGCCCTGACAGACAACAGCACTGTGTAACACCCTCCTGGGAGGTGCTCAGGTTACGTGCCTGGTACAAAAACTAGACACGACCAAGGGAGATGTTTTCCACAGTCCTAATTCCAAGCTGCATTAAGTAATTCACGCCAGTGACTGATAACTCTGCATTAACAGGGAGTCCTGAACTTGGAGGTCAGAGCAAGGCCTGGGGCACTGCAAGATGTGCTGACTTTGCCGTGCTGTGACCACACCGCGTAACTCTACACTAACAGGATGCAGGGATGGACTCCAGACGGGCATCAGCTGCTACAGAAGCGAGGACGGGAAAAAAAGAGTCAGCCAGCACTTACCACTCCACTCTTGAAGTTCTGTATCCTCCTCTTGCCCATCCTGTTCATGAGCCACCAGGCCCAGGTGGGCGCGTACTGCCACAGGTAGCAGACAGCCAGGTAAGGGTGGTCGCTGATCCAGGCCTCCTTCAGGTCGTTGGCCGTGCTCACCAGGGTGAGCCGGGCACAGCGGTCCGTGGGCATCTTGTGGGACTGGTCCCCGCTGTTCTCTATGGACTGGGCAGGGACAGAGGGTGAGCAGGGGTTAGAGTGGGATCCCAGGGAGGGATGGAGGCCAAGCTCTGTGTGCCAGGCACCCTCCCCACAGCCTCCCCACAGGGAGAATCCAGCCAGTAAGGCAGAGACTGAGGCTGGTGTTCACTGTGGGAACCCACCTTCCTTTGGCTTAATTAATAGCACCCTTTTTATTAATGCCTTGATTGATGGGTCAAAGGTTACAAAAAAAAAAAAAGATAAAATGGATCTGCAAGCTCTGCCCTGCTTCAGCACAGCTTCTACTTGATGGTGACACAGATTATTGGAACAGGTTACCCCCATTCCTGCAGCTCTGGGAAATGGGAACACCCCTATTCCCAGCTTTCTGCCCCCTTCTATGCTACAAGTTACTCAGTAACCAGGTTAGTTGATGAGGACACAGTCGCCATTAACTTAAATATTCCTGCCAACTCTCCCTCCATGGGCAATCTCAGCCAAGGGAAAATCAGGAGGCTGCCTTGGAGCAAGGATGTCTACCCCAGGTCTTGTCCCCATGTATCACTCAGTGAACACCCCTGTGCGCTTACACACATTTCACTGCAGCACAAACACACTGCTCTAGCAATCTGTTCTTGTTTCCCAGGGCAAAAGCAGTTCTGGTCTAGATTTGCTCTTCCTCCCTGGTCTTCTGCCACGCTGAAGTCTGAGGAATGTGTTTTGCAAGCTTCCCCCATTGCTCAAAGAGTACATCTTTTCTTTCACGCAATTATCAAGCTTTGCAAGCCAAAAATCCTCCCAGAACTGGATTCAGCAATGGGAGAGCCCCTCCCCCTCACTGGTGGGTTATCCTGAGCTTCAGATTGAGTGAATTTAGGGCAGATTACAGTTTGATGTATCCCAGTGGCGATTTTTGGCCAGCTGCTTTGTTAGGACAGCCTTTATTAAAAACCATTGTGCAGTTGGAAGGTTTGGCTTTTCCTCCTGGAACAATCCCTAACAGGAAAGGAATGCACAGCTCCCGTCAGCTGAGCTGGGGCTGTGCCAGCAGCAGCATCACCCACCAGGGCACAGCGTGACCAGGGCAAACAAAGCTCTACCTGTGCACAAGGACAGTGTTCTGCAGGCACAGCTGTGTCCAGAAAAGCCTGGACTTTCCCCCACAACTGCAGCACAGTGGCTGTACAGTAAATTTTACCAGACTTGGGTTGTTCTCTCTTGGGAAGAGAGAAGGTGTAACAATTATCAAACTCAATATTTTTATTTTTTTTTATCATACAGATTTGACAGTTCTGTACCACTCAAAGCACTTCTTAGTTAAAAAGATGAGGTCAGTGTTTGCTGGGAGGAGAAAAAGAGAAGAAAACCACGAAAGGATCACTGGCCCTGCAGCAGAAGTTGGATTTGTAACAAGAGAACTGAGTTCTTACCTTTGAAAGATTCTCTGTAAAGACATTTTGGATAATCTTGGACTGCACAGGCCCTGGGCAGATGTTGATGATGCTGATCTCAGGGTAGTCAGTCAGCTCAGTCCTCAGGGAATTAAAAAATCCCTAGAAGAAAATAATATGATGAAATCTTCCCTTTACCATGTCTCTGAAAGGCTTAACTGACTACATCTTTTCATGCTAATTCATGCTGTAAAAACAACAGTATTCCACTAAAATTCATACTACTTTGTTTTGGCTTTCCACACTCAATGGCTAATTTAACATTTTATCAGCAATTACAGACACTGACTTACACTGCACACTGGTTTGTATCCTTGGCTTCCCAAATACACAATAATTTTGCTAAACTACATCCAGATTCTGCTGTCCCTGTACTGAGGACAAGCTTTGCTCTACAGTAGTGGAAGTGCCACCAATTCTAAGAACTACAATATCATGGAAATTACCTTTTTTAGGTGAATTGCTCTTTGTGGTGAGATAAAAAATTTTATATGGTTTCTATCCATTAAGTGGCTTTACTGAGTAAGTGGCTGGTTTTATATAAGAGAAGGAGGAAAACTTTTCAGCACAGCAAGTCAAAGGTGCACCCTGACAAATTTAGGGGGTAATTCTGCACCATTGAATTCACTGCAAAGTTTTATATCTGTGTGGATGCAGATTTCAATCTTATTTCAGCTCAGGAATATGACACCAGTGTATCCAAGTTAAATTGTAGTTACGAAAACTGCAAGTACTCCTTTTCTTTAAGCTAACAGGATACAAGTTTTCTGAATCTCTGTAGCATTTCACATTTACATGGCAACTGTTATGGGAAACATGAGCAATTCAGGAGGGCACTGGTCAAGCACTGCTGATTTAGCTGACACCCCTTCATGTCTTATCTTTGACCTGCTTAGTAACAGTCCCCTGTATTTATTCCAACACGTAATTTTGTGTCACAACAGAGACAGAGAGTGAGCAAAGGCTGATACACTCCCACTGTAGGAAAATGTTATCACTTGTACTCCCCTGCAGCTTGGGAAGAGGCTGACCCAGAGCTCCTCACTGAGTTGCAACAGAGGGCTAAAACCAGTCAGATACCAGCCTATGATGACACAGAAGCACCAGCTGGGACAAGCCACAAGAGCTCTTGCACACTCTGACCAAGAACACGAGCTCCAGTTTCCCAGTTGCTGGTGGCTAATTCCAGTTTATGGATTGCACACAGGCTTTGCAGCGTATTTAAAGTTCTAAGTACCTGCAGGCCCCAGATCTGGTGTCAGACCTTCACAGCAGGGTAGCAAAGCCTGGAGAGGACTAAGTTCTAATATTAAAGACACTTGTGTGCCCAGAAATCTGCTCCTGGACCACAGGAATCTGCCAGCCACCCAGTTTTTTTGGATTAAAAAGCCAGGCCCTCCCTTGGATTATCTCCTGCCCTGAGAGGAGCCTCCTCCAGCCCACTGAGCACCTTCAGATGTGGCACCAACACGGCTGTGAAAACCAGAATCTCACATGTGCTCGGTCCCCTCTGGAGGCTCTGTGTACACTTTGTACATTCTCTCCAATTCCAGCACTTATCCTTGACATCCAAAGATAGCTGGTATGAAATTCCTCCACTTCCTCCCAGAAGACAAGCTTTAAATTCCTAAGAAAGAAAAGGAAGTGCTCTCTTTTCTTTGAATTCAGGCAGGGACGGACCCAAATTTGGGAGCAGTGAAGGAACTCCAGTGCAAGAAGGAAGAACCTGAGTGTCTCCACCGAGCCCTGACAGACAGAGGAGCTGCTCTCAGCCATCCCTGGGCCTTTCCAGCTTGGTGCACAAATCCTACAAGATGCTGAGGAAGACAAGCCTGAAATGACTCCTACGACAGAAACATTTAGAAATTCCACTAATGACCAGAGAATTGAACAAAGAGAGGAGTTTCTGCTGCTCAGTGCAGTCCATGGGCTTATTAGGCAAGTTCCTGATGAAGGGACACTTTGAAGGCCACTCTGATCCACTCCACATGCCACCAATTAGATGAATCACAACTGGGTGAGTGGCACAGGATCTCCATGAGCATCATCTCACCAAGAGAGAAACTGCATCAGTCAGATACAGACTCCCATGGACTCGACTCACACTCTCACAGCACTGAAATAAAGGATAATTTCATCACTAGGTCATTGCCATGAAGAATTCCAGTTGGCGTGAATCAAAGCGTGATTGTTTCAAGAACAAGTTCTAATTCTAAGCAGAATTCCTTCCTTCCTCCTCCAACGGCCATTTAAAAGAATTAGGAAAAACAAAAACAAAAACCCCAAACCAAAAACAAACAAACAAAACTAAAAACCAAAACAAAACCACCAAAACAAAACCAGCAAAAGGAGGGACTTTTTCCCCAAAAGGTATGACTAAGATTGCAGCATTAAGGGTGTCAGCTGTGAGGGGCTCCAAGGCAT